GGAGAACCATTTGCTCGACCATGGAATGCTGAAAAGCTCAAACAATATTACAGTTAGTACTAATAATCGATTAGGACTAACTGCTGACGACGTCATCTCGCATTAAAGAGAGGTCGCTTGGCCAAGGAAGCGTGCCCTGGTGCAAGCACAATCCTCAAACTTATAACGAAGGCAAATTTCTGCTCATGGAACGAGCATACTCTGTGCCCAAACGGGATACCTCAATCGAGCTCTGTCGTTGTCGTACCAGCGTGGCAGGACACCTAGCTCGCGATAAAAAGTCCAAGCCATGTGCGATCAGGACCACGACCGAGATCCTAGTCCCACGACCGGCGAAACTACTTCTCCCCCTCGACAAGTTCCCTAAACTATCGAGCATAATAACGAGTCGAGCAAAACTCTTATATTTAGCGAACACAACTCGCAAAAAAACTAACGAGGCAAACGCCTAGACAAAAAAAAACAATATATAATAAGGCATAGAATGTCAAAAAAAAAATATATATATATATATATATATATATATATATATATATATATATATATATATATATATATATATATATATATATATATATATATATATATATATATATATCCGACCACCAGGCTGGAAAGTGTCTAAATATTACAAAATACGGGTCAAGCCCGATAGTTAGAATTTACATAAAAAAATGGCGCGCAGGCTAAGATATACTAAGTTACAAGGAAAAATTAGGCATCATCAACTAGAACCTCAGGAGGGACCACCTGCCCGTCAACAACTTGATGCAAAACGCTCATCCCTTCGGTGACCAGCTGGACGTCAGAGTTTAGAGCCTTCATCTGCTCCACGATAGCATTGAACCCGAACACGGTCGCTTCTAGAGTATCCTGTTTGAGGATGCGAATTTTTTCAATCAAGTTTCTTCGGGTCCTCAAGGACTTCTCCTCCTCGGTTTTGTCCTGCCCAACCGCCGACGAGCCTTCCAATTCAGCAACTCTCACCTTCAAATTGGCGTTCTCCTCTTTCACCCTTTTCATCTCCTCCGTCATCTCATTCATGTCCTTCAGGAGTGCGACCTTGGCTTCATAATTGCCCTGAAAAGTCGTCAGTTAGTTAAACATATCAGCTGACTCCAATTCAAGCTCACTCTCCCTGGCCTTTACCTTCTTAAACTCCTTGAGCAGAAATGTCTCTGCGTCGCCCAGGGTTAGCGTCGTTTCCAACACCCTCATCATCGTTGCTGCATCCTGACAAAGGAGTTTCCTCCTCACCTTAGGCTCAGCGGACAATATTGTTGACGCTTCAAGGTCGGGGGCAACAACAGACTCTTCCCCGTCGAAGATCTTGTTATGCAGATAGCAAGGCGGCAAAATGAATTTACCCCCGAAAAAGCCACTTATCAACCGGGGAAGAACTGAGATCGTCTCGTTTCCTTTTCTTCTGAGGATCTGAGGTAGGAGGACTTGAGGTGCTGCCCAGAGAAGGTGAAGAACCAACCACGAACTTCTCTAACGTCGCCTGTTGTCTAATCGCGTCAACCCTTGAGGTCGACACCTTCTTGACGTTCTTGGCGGGGGCAGACTTGACAAGACGTTCGTGCAAATTCGACATTTTCCCTACAAAAAGGAAAAACAAAAAGGGGGTCAATACGTTCGTCAAAGCACCAGAAGTACAAGAAAAACTAATCATTTATACCTAGAAGCTCGAAAGCGTCGTCCTCGGTTTTACAGTTGAGGAGGGCCTTAGTATTTATATAACAGGCTTCCCGAGCAGGCTCCCCGTCCTCTGCATAAAGCAAATTATTGTCCTTGTCCACCACGGTAGCGGGGATAAAACTCTCCACGAACGCCGTCAACGCTCAGAAAGACTTCCTATCCTCGATACTCAGCTAGTCAAGCTTTACGAGGAACTGGTCGGTCCTGTATCTAAAATGGGCATACACCCACTCCAGTGGAAACTTTGACACCAACCTAATCACCTCCCGACCATCCTCCTCCACGGTTTCCATGGTGACCAAAGAATTTTTTGCCGCCTCCGAGAGAGGCTTCACGACCAAGAACCTGAACTTAAAATTTCGAACAAATTCTGAATACGGTCAGAACAACCTGCTCTATTGTTTGAAGGACACACAACTTTGTTTCGAACCAGCTGTGCTCCTCTGAAGCTGGAAAATACAGAAAAATAGCTCCACGGTAACCCCAATCTTCAGGTACCGGCACACCAGCTCGAAAGTCTGAATGAACGCTAGAGCATTCGGGTGAAGCTGGGCAAGGGATAACTCGAGGTGATAGAAAACCGCCCCTCGACTCAAGCCCTTGTCGACAGTACAGGAACATGGTGTAATCCCCTCCTTAAACAGCAGGACAAGTCTCTACGACTCTATAAAAGGCTCAAAGGGGAACGAGCCCCTCGACAACTAAAACTTGTCGGGCACGCGAGAATTAATTCTCAACGTCAAGGAGGTCTACTGCCCGACCACTAACATAAACTATTTCGGACAAAAACCTAGGAAGATCTACAGTCCTACACAACATCCTAGATTCATGTTCTTCAGGGCCTTCATGAATTTCCCAGAAAATTCATGTGTTCATCGAAGAACACATGAACTTCAACAGGAAAACTCATGCGTCGACGGGAAATTCAAGCTAGTTTCCAGAAATTTAAGAACTTCCCTAAGTGCTAGCAAGCAAAGATGAAGAACTTACTAGAATCAGAAGGTTGAAGATGAAAAAGAAGAAGAAGAGGATTGACGGCAACAAAGAGAACTCCGGCGAAGAATGTGAGACCATAATTTTTGCAGAGAAAAAGAGGTTGAGAAGATAAATTTGCGTGAAGTGTGAAAATGAATCCTCGTTCCCCCCTTTTATAAGCATTTGCTCGCATAGAAAAACGCATAGGGAAGAAGCCATCACTGCCTAGCTAGACTAGACCTCCTAGACCCTAACAAAAATTGATTACACTGTCACGTGTCAAAAGGGGAATCTTTCGGTTGGCATTCTTAAGGATGACACTTTACATTCCTCAGAACAAGTCCCTCTAGCTCCGCGCGGGCATATCCTCCTCGACAGGGCACTGGATATCATCCGAGCAGAAGCCTTATCGACATGACATTTCTTTACCGTAAGCGAAAGCTTGGTCGACGTAAAACATTCATTCCGCGACCACGTCCTCGCATCCCAAGGAAGGCCACAAGCAATCAACGGTCGACCATACTAACCATAGACAATTGACGAACACGTCCCCGAAGACTTTCGCTCGAACAATAAGGAGCTCAAAAATCTCCCCGTGACGCATTTCCTGCCCATCGGTCGACTAGCTAGGCTAACTCAAGTCATTACTCCTCTCCTCAGAGCAACGACTTGCGGGGCTCCTATTTTGGACTAGACTAGCACATGACCCACAGTTGGGCAAGGCCCAATCCAGTCCAACTTTTGGCAAGGCCCAATAAGGAGATTAAGACTATCTAGCTGTTGGGCACAATATAGCCGTTAGGCACATCATAGTCATTGGGTACAATATGACTGTTGGGCACAATATAGTCGTTAAGGAATATAGCCTTGGGGACGCGACCAGCTGCCCCTCCGAAATTCACGGGGACAGTTGGATCAGGTCAAAGATCACACGCTAGATTTTCCACCTGACAATCTCTCATTGGTCAACCAAATATTTCGACCACATCGGAGACCTTGGCTCCGCGCTGGGGGATTCTCATAAATACCCTCTCACTTGAGAGGGTCAGGTATTCAAATCATTCTAACTCATACCTAAACACTTGTACTTGCTCTCTCTCTCTAGCCCAAACTTACTTTGGCATTGGAGTACCTTGCAGGTACACCACCTCCTCTCCTACAACCATTGTTGTTGCCCTACATTGAAGGTCATGACGATCCATTCTGATCACACCAGATTAATCTTTAATAATACACAGTTTAACAATTTTAAATTTGTGTGAGATTTGTCCAAAATATGTATAAAAGAGTGTTGAAGCAAAGAAAAAACAAATTTTTGTTTAAAACACTTGTTTGAATTGTCAACATGTATTATGAGTGTCGTATGGGTGTCAATCATTGTTTAAAGCTATATATACGAGAGTATTTATGCTTTATTTATCCATCTATGATTAAATATGTTTAAAATATTATAATCAAAATTAATATCTTTAATAATACACGGTTTAACAATTTTAAATTTGTGTGAGATTTATCCAAAATATGTAAAATATGTATAAAAGAGTGTTGAAGCCAAAAAAAAATGTTTATAAATGTCGTATAGGTGTCAACCATTGATTCGAAGAGAGTTGAAACAGAAAAAAGAAAACTTTTTCTTTAGTGGACACTTGTCTGACTTTTCCGACAATTCTTAGACTTTTCCGACACGTGTCGTACGAATATCACACAAGTGTTGGACCGACGCTTGTCGGACACTGCGACAAGCATACTCATAGAGGCGTCTGTATTTCATAAACAATATGTATATATCAGTTACAGCACGCGTGTCGGACACTGCGACAAGCATACTCATAGAGGCGTCTGTATTTCATAAACAATATGTATATATCAGTTACAGCAGCGCTACAACGCTTTGGCGAAAGAATTTGAGTACAAAATGTCATCTAATAGCAACTATAGAGGTGTTATAGCCCTACTACGGCGCGAAATTTGAACAAACCGTCATTCTATATGATCAGCGTTGACAACATTGCGGACATGTTTGAGATATAAAAAATGGATTTCCAAGCAGAATAATACATGCATCTGTTACATATATGAAACAACAGACAATATATAATACAAGAAACATATGCACCAAAACTTCAGTAAAGCAATCGTAGAGCAAATATATTACGATCTAGAGTTACCGAATTACCATATACTCAAATGGTACAAGCATGAGGGAGGGATAGTTAATGACTTCCAAACTTCCCCAATCAAAAATCCATTCTTTTTTGAACTAAATAGATTACGGCATCTTACAGGAAACATTAAAAAAAGACAGAGTTTGCAAGATTGCTGACCTAGTTAAAGCTGATGCCCATTTCCTTTCGCTTCAATTCTAAAGCCATGCGTTCATTTTCAAGCTTCATTCTTTCGTTTTCTAGACTCATCTTCTCCAACTCCTGGTCCTTTTTTTTACTAAACCTCTGCCACTTGAATCTTTGTTTCTCTAATTCCAACGTCTCGGCCTGAATTTGTAGCTTTTGCTCTTCTAATTGAACTTGCCGAATGTCAACCAATTGCTTCTGTAACCATGTTGCTCTTGTGTTTTCAGGTGAAACTTGGTTACCATCGGAATGAACCGTTTGTCCGCGTGGATGCGAACCTTGGTTGAAATAATCTTGACAATTTGAAGAATTACCAAGTGTATTAGTATTACCATCTTCTTGACCGTGGATTTGTTTCATGTTCTTCATGGATCCACCTCTGCTAGCGCTGTCACCGCGGGAAGCACAGTGCACTTTAAAATCATCACGTTCTTCAATCTCAACATCTTGCTCATCGTCATCATGATCCTCGACATGGGACATTCTGATATCATCATTCTCATGATCATGATCATCCCTATTTCGGAGAGCTATCTGCATCGAACATTGCAATGCATGATCATGCGGCAAATGCAACCGATTACCATTATGATAAGAACACATCTCTTCATAAAACAAGTGTTTCGAGCTTAATATTTTCCGAACGTCGTCCTTTTCCTTCTCAGAAAGAAAATTAATTACATCCAAAAGTAAAGGATTTTCAACAACCTCACAAGAAGTCCCTCTCCCTAACATATCATTAAGCTTTTTATACCTTTTATTAAGATCATTGAACTTATCCTCGCATTGTTGAGGCGAAACATGATAACCTCTTTCAGCCATAACTTTCGATACAGATTTCCACTTACCCTTTTTCTGTAAAACCGTAAATCTCCTTCTTCCACTTCCACCACCACCGCCGCCACCATCGGAAGTTATATCCTCACCTATATAAGAAACCGCAGTTATCATAAGCCTCACCATCTTATCAGTCCATTTCACACGCTGCCAAGGCGACGACGGACCCTTTTTACCTCTCCCCCCTTCATGTTGACCGTCAAAACCATCCTCGTTAAAACTCGGCTCATCCTCGTCACTAGTCGAGTTTTTGCTTCTCTCTCCCTTACTGTAATCCGTCATCGAAACAGTTTGATCACAGTTCTGTAAGAGAGGAAACCCATCATGAACCGATGAATGCAGCGAAGACCCTTGACGCGGATGCTGATGCTGATGCGGATGCGGATGAGGTTGATGTTGATGAATGGTGTGAGGATGATGTGCTTGATGATGAACCTGAATTGATCCAGGTAAATCAAATCCACCAAAAGAATTTCCAACACCACCTTGTGACAAATTCACATCCATTTTTTTCTCACAAACAAAACAACAACCTAGATCAAACTACCAAACTCATTACACATCAAAACCTAAACATTTCAAAACGCCTAACAATTTTTTCACTTAATCTACAATCTAACTAGAACAAAAAAACATCATTATAAAGTGACAATACAATACAGTGACGAAAAAGACAAAAAGGAACCAACTTTCACACAACAAGAAAGAGACAAGGCTCAAAATCAATAACCCATAAGCAAAAAAAGGGAAATGATTAAAGGGTCAAGAAAAAACAGAAATAAAAAGCTTTTCTTGAAGAGTAATCAGTGAATGAAGTTAAAGGTACTTATCTGGTGCAAAACTGCATAGAGTTGGTGACTGAGAAGCTGGAAAAAAAGAGGTTTGAGGAAGAAAAACCGGAGAGAAAAGAGAGTTACGACGTTGAAGGGTCTGAAAACTGAAAAGAACCCCGGCAAAAAGGAAAAAACATAGACACGGTTAACAACATAGGAAAATACATAGAAGTGTTTTTTTTTTTGTGTGTAGGAAAATGTTTTTTTTTATTTAATTTTTGTGAGTTTCTTTCAAAATGAATTATAAATAGATAAAAAGTCAAATATTTTTATAGTATCTTTGAATGGTAGAAAATATTAAATATTAAATTTCGATATAATAAATATTTAATTGTTTTAGTCAAATTAAAAAAAAAATCAAACTTAGTAAAAGATAAATAAAAGATTTGATTTTCTTTAATCAAATAAATTAATCAATTTTAGTCAAATATGAATCAAACAAATTAATCAATTTTTTCAAACAATTAAAAAATGTGTTTTTTATTAGTATAATGAAAATCATCTTTCTAAAAAAATAACTATTAAAAGTAGTTATTTTAAACAAAGTCACTTTAATTTATTCTTTAACAATATAAAACTATAATAAAGAGAAAAAATAATATCTCAAGAGTACCTAATTTAAAATGAGTTTAATTTTTAGAAATTAATAATAAAAGTTGTGTTAACGTGTGATTTTAAAATTATTTATTAAAAAAATATTAAAAAAACCTATTTAAAAAAACAAAATTTTAAACTAATATAATATTTTTATACTCATTTTTCTTAATCAATACCAATAGGATATTCATTGATTTCTAGAGAACTTTTAGTGCAATCAAACAAAAATAACACTCTTTTTTCTATAAATTATATTTAGAAAGCTGTTCCATTTATACTTAACAATTATTATTTATATATTTTTATAAAAAGAATATATGAATATTTTGCTAGTTTAATAAATTAAAAAGTTTTGCTAAAGCCATATCAATTTAATTCGGATAAGTTCAAATCTCAGTCAAAGTAGTCAATTCAAAACTACTAATTTTATATTTGAAAATAATAATTTAATTTCTTTATTTTTAATTACCAATTTAGGTTTTATTCTATTGCTAATAATTAATGATTAATTACATTGATCCTACGTACTCAAATACTGATCCGCCACTAGCCACTAGCTGAATCAAAACATTAGATAAGTTATTTTAAAGAATAATAAAAATATATAAGTGGACTTGTGATATGTTTTTGTTTTAGTTTAAGGAAAATGTTAATAAGTGTATTTAAAATATTGGTTAAATAATATATAAAATATGATAAGTTTAAATACATAAATATATTATTTATTATATTAAAAATTGATTTTATATTCTAAAATAATTAATTTATTAATATATACTTTATAACAGTCATAAATAAAATATATAATTTAATAGGTCTTGAGCATGAGACCCGAAACAAAACAAAAACATTAAAAACCTTAACAGGTTCAATGTATTGGAAGATCCAGTGGGTCCATCTGATGTCATACTCAAAAAATAATATTATGCCACGCCAAATATATAAGTATATATTAGGCACAAAATAATGCAATTTGATGGGGTTTGGGCCCCTTTTTTGTTGCAGCTTACACATTTGCTAGTAGTCTATCTAATACTAACATCTAACTAATTAAAAAAAATAGCATTTAACTAATTAGAATGTCGCTTCAAATTATACGGGAGAATAATTTAGTTAAAACAACATAAACATGAATTGTTTTCTTTTTTAGGAGGAATGACAATAACGACTATGAATTCACCCTCGTTTCGAATATTCAATTTAAATATATTATATGTTTTATTTTGAAAATGTAGTTGAATAACCGATAATCTTGAATAATGTTTTTAATATTTTTTATGTTGATGGCGAGGTAGACCTACATGGTTAGTACTCTAATACTGAAGTCAGTTCAAGATTTAAGATGAATGTAGTGAGAAATGATTATGAGAGAATGCATATTGTTGTATGCATGTGAATTGAATTTATATTTTGGATCAAATAGAGTGGATTTGAGATAGATTAGGCCTTACTCGTTTGGATATTTGACTGATTTTGAATAGTTGCTCCCAAGAATTTATCGTGCAATGTAGAAACTGGTGAAGCCTTAAGTGAGGTTGGTCGGCCCCCTAGACGTTGTACAGTGTGAAATGGAACTAAAACACCTAGAATCAGTTAAAAAATGGTGGGGAACATGTGCATTAAATGCGGTCCCATCAATGAAACGTTTTGTAACTCTATTCTGCCATGTGTGGTGATGTGAGTAGTTAGGGCATGACACAGTTTATAGTGCACTTGAGTTGGTGTGTATCCGTGGCAGAAAATCTAGTTGTTGTTCTTATGACTTCTTTCTCTCATAAGTTTGTACCCTTCACCTACTGCTACTTATAAATAGGGTGAATTGAATATTTTGAAGTTCTTGCAACCTTCAATTTTCAAACTTGAAGTTACTTTCCCATAAGGTTTGTCTGTTTCCTTTTCTTCGAGAATACTACTATAAGTGATTTTTAGTGTTTTACTTAAAGTATGTAATTTTTTTTTATTTTCTTTGCTCCATCAATTTCACATAACAAAGTACAATCATAACTCAGGCTTTTCATCTTCAGTATTTTCTGCTTTCTAACTAGGATGAGTGATAATATAGTTACTTTATGAGGTGATTTTGAGGGCGAGACTTCGTCTGCCTCGAGAATGGGGGTGTCCATTGATTCTCATTTCCCTCCTTATGGTCGCAGTTATTTGGACGCATAAATCATATCTATATTTGATGACTCTGATTTATAAATGACATATGGGAATTCTTTGGAGGAAAAAACTTCTTCATTGACTTGTTATAAGTCTTTTTATCAAATGTTGGCGGAGAGGTTAATTACGTTGAGGTCCCTATCCCCTCGCTCGTCTTATCAGCGAATGGGATACAACCAAATTTACAAAGCAGAGGAAGTGTATGTCACACCCTAATTTTTAACCCTAAGATTCCACCTCCTCTTGCACCATCTTGCATCATTTTAGGTCAATCGTTTATGCATGACTAAGCCATTTATCTAGCTTTGTTTTATTTGCTTTTGTTCACCTGTGAATTAGGGTTCAAAGAAAGTTAAGGGAATGACCAGTCAAATTTTGGAGAGATCTTCAACCAATCAAGTTCTCATATTCTCAAGAGATCTCCCTCCATCAAGATTCAAAGCCAAATGGCCTCACAACAAGTGTTTCAAAGATTCCATTGCAATTAATCAAGAATTAGGGTTCTTCAACCAAGGATAGCTACATCTTTGAATCTTTTGATCAAGACATGATTTCAAGCCAAGGATTCATGTACTCTAAGACATCTCAACAAGGCCATATGTTCACCAAGATTAGGGTTACAAGGTTGTGCAGTTGATCAAGCTACTAGTGGCACCAAGGCTAGGGTTTTTGACTAGAGACATCTTATAGTTGATTCTTGAGATAAACCTTGTTCATTTGGATCATTATGCATCTCAAGGTTCTTATATGTCTCATGGCTCATCACAAAGTTCCTAAGAGGTTCATGTGGGTAGGGGAATGGTCAAGATTTTTCATCTGGTCAACGAAAAGTCAATTATGGTTCTGAAGAGGTTCAAAGCTTGACTTTTGGTCATTTTGGTCATGAGAGGCCATCTCAAGTCATTACAAGTGCTATGGTGAAGTTCAATAAAAAAGAATCAAGGAAATTCATAAAATCAAGCGGTTGCTAAATTAGGGTTTTAGAAGTTTCTAAGTGTAAAATCCCTTATTTTAGCACCTAACTTCCATGGCAAGTTTCATCATGATACAAGCTCCATCTCATTTTTCCATCAACATGAAAGTTGTATAATTTTTTCTAAGATTTCTTTTGATGTAAAGAAATACTCCATTGGATTTACACATCTCAAGTTATGATGTCTTCAAGTTGGTGTCTCAAAGTTGAAAGGACCTAGAATCATCCAAAGGCAACCAACTTCTAAGACAAATTTCACATGGATCCAAGCTTTTCCTCAAAATGCTTTCAAAATAAGAGTTGTTCTTCATCATATAAGATTTCCAAAAAGTGTAAGAATTCATCATTTCCATGTGTAGTATTCAAGTTATGATCTTTCTAAGTCAAGGCCATATTTGGATGACCTAGTTTTGGTCATTCACTTCAAGGCCAAAGTTTGTGAACTTCTAAGATTCAAATCAAGTTACCTACAATATGAAAGTTGTGCCTCATGGTATTGCCTTCATCATGACCTCAAACATAATTTCATTTGGTGTCTTTTTATGCAAGTTAGGTCAAAATGAACAAGCATGCATGGTTATGTGACCTATGTTGGCTTTCTTACTTTTCAAGACACAAATTGGATTGTTTTTGTTCTCTATTTGGAATCATTTCATCATCACCACGTGACACCAAAAATTACCTTAAATGGGAAAGCATACATTCCCATTTCAAGCATGTTTTCAAACTTTTACACTATAATGAGGAAATCACCAAAACACTTCACCAATTCATTTCCTTTCCACCAAACCACCCTTATTCATTTCCTCACCCCTCATTGGTATTGAATGATGACTTGAAGTAGTGGGAAATGTAACACCCTTTTCTACCCCATAATTAAAAGGCACATCTTCACATAAATCAGAGTAAAATATTTAACTCAATAAAAATCACCTCAAAGA